AAGAGAAAAGGAAAAAGAAGAACCAGAACGGCGAGGACGAGATTAAGTATATTGATGTCTATCAAAAGGAGCAGGTACATCCTTCCCATTTCATCCAGCTCGACAGGTTCATTCAGAGATTCAGAGCAGGTCAAGCATATCGCCTTCCTCAGTTCTCTCCTTTTCCATTCCTCGAGGGAAGGGTTCTTTCCGAGGCCACGGCCATAAGCCTTTCAAAGGAGTGTCATCCAAAATGTAGTTTGCGTTGAGCTCAGGTTTCTCAATAGCAAAATTGTATGCCCAGCATTCCGTCTTGGAATCATCCGATACATAACAGCGATATACTTTGTCTGGTGAAAGATGCTCGACGCGGAAGTTGGTTGCAACAGGGCAACTGAGTGTCGTGACCACCAAATTCCCTTTCCAGCTGGGGCCGGTGAGAGCAAAATGACGGTCATAGTAGTACTTGTTGTGCTCCTGCTGATATGGACGCATGGTCAAACAATTCTCCTGCACAATTACATTGTGCTGAGACACATGCAGTCCTTCCCTCATCAAGCCGATGATATCTGACGTGTGAAGTATGAGCTGGGCTTGCCAGCCGACAGTCAAGTTCACCATTGGGACTTCCTCCCTCAGGATGTCGGGGTCAGACCCAACCATGAGATCCACCTTCCATGATTTGGTTGCCTCAACTTTGGGAGGGGATGAGGGACGATGAGTTAGAAAGTCGAAAAGACCCATATTGTCTGCTGTCGGCTGAAGTTTGTGTAATCCGTGGTCAAAATTAGGTGAAAGGGAGTCTCTGGTGATAAGAAGGGAATGGATTCATCTAGTGGAGAGACGACTCCTTTATGCTCATATATACCTACCTAGGCGCAGCAAACTTTCAGCATAGACTTTGTCGCGGTATTTGCGTGGCACTGTGATTTGCAGTTCAGAGAGCTTATGTCGCACACAGAACTTAGTATGGGGCTTTCTCTTTGAGATTATTTCTTTGGACGAGATGGTTAGCCTCTCCTCATGGAGTAAGAAAATATTATACCTTGATA